ACCTGTAGTCCCAGCAACTTGGGAGGCTGAGGCAAGAGAATCACTTAAACCCAAGAGTTTGAGGTTGCGGTGAGCTGTGACACCACGACACTCTACCCAGGGTGACATAATGAGACTCTATCTCAAAAAAAAGAAAGAAAGATGAGGTGAGTCCCTCCTGCCCCTACTGCTGCCCAGAACTGGGTAATAATGTCTCACCTCTAACGTCAAGTATTCTCATCTTTTGTGACATCTGAACCTACCATGTCTTAGTAGCCTGAGTAGGGGCAGAGGTTCCTTCTGCCCCATTCTGAAACTAGAACTTGACTCTGACTTCCAGCCCTGGGTACATGCTACCCTGTGTCACTGGTCTCCCTGACAACCCAGGATGTGTGCTCTGAATGGGTGATGGCTCCGTGGCTAATTTTGTGGTGATGCAGCAGGACGGTCCAGGCAGCCCCAGGGCCCATGATACCTAGTAGCTTCTCTCCTGTAAGCAAAGGCACAGCAGATCTGCCCTCTGGGTGGGTGAATGGTCCCTTGCCCAATCCAAACACAGCCACAGGACAAGTGCTGCTGCTGTCAAATCCTATGTCCCAAAGACAGGACTTTGAAGGTGGTTTCATTCCAGCACACCAATCCCAGAATGCCAGCAGAGGACGCCTGTAGTGTTTGCAAATCACTAATGCAGTCTATATGGAAAGTCAGCCCAATTCTAGAGCAACTGGGAACCAGGAGAAATGATATTTTATTCATGCTGAACAAAGCTTCTACATCTGAAACCTCTACATGAGAAGAATCCCAGTAATTCATTGTTTTCAAACATTACATATCCAAGAGACAAATGGTAAGGCAAGTAGGCCATTTCTCTTCTCTTTGCTTTGAGCAGATAACATACAGGTGGGTAGGATTTTCTTGAGCGTTGGACAGAATCATGTTACTTGTCATCCAGTTCTATCAGATTTTTTTTTCTTACTCAGGAAAACTCTTATAAAGATATAAAGCTGGAGGCACATTTAGTTGTATAGATAATGAATACATCTTCTTGGAAGGGGAAGGAGAGGAAAATTTCAAGAAATGTGTACTATTTCATAACATTCCCTGAAAAATGAGGTCCCAGGAGGGGTCCAGCCCCTGTCCTCAGGGCCAGATCCAGTCAGCCAGGGCCATCCTGCGTTGTGATCCTTCAGATCCCCTTTCAGGGGTTGTACAGCATATTGAGAGGTGTGTTGGGGTCTCTTCTTCACACAGCCACTGGCTTTGTTTTCTATCACATTTGGTTTTTCTTTCATTGTTTTTGTTTTTTTTTTCTTTTTTTTCTTTTTTTGAGACAGAGTCTCTGTCATCCTCGGTAGAGTGCTGTGGCATCATATAGCTCACAGCAACCTCAAGCTCTTGGGCTTAAGTGATTCTCTTGCCTCAGCCTCCCGAGGAGCTGGGATATTGGTGCCCACCATAATGCCCAGCTCTTTTTTTGTTGCAGTTGTCATTGTTGTTTAGCTGGCCCAGAGCGGGTTCGAACCCACCACCCTCCGTGTACCTGGCCGGCACTATACCCACTGTGTTACAAGTGCTGAGCTCATTGTTTTTTTTTCAATTACACAAGCAACACATGGCCTCAGTAGAAAAATCAGTAGCCAAAAAGCAAAAAACACAGTGACGGAAGTCATCATAATCCCACATTGAGAGCACTGTGACTGTGTTGTCATCCATCCTTTCAGACTGTTGAGTAAGAAGGGGATTATCCTTCACATGGAACTTTATGACCTTCTGTGCTTTCCCATGTTATTCTGAGTCTTTTTACCCTCTGGGTCTTGATGTTCCAAATGAGCTGGTTATATACCTTTCCTATCATTCTCATTCATTCATTCACTCATTCCCACATTCATCCATCCATCAGTTTGTACACACTGAGCCAGGCACTCTTCCTAGGAGTGGATCCAACTCTCTGCCCTCCTGGCTCTCACAGTTCAACAAGAGAGACAAAGAAAAAATAGATCAGCTCTCTGGGGTCTGGGGGAAGAGCTGAGAGGAGGGATGGAGCAGGGATGAGAGAATGAGTGGGGTGGGTGCTGTTTCAGGCAGATGGGTTATCAATTAGGCAACTGTTCTGTGTCCAGAGTTACTGTTCTCATTTTACAGATGTGATAGTTGAGGCTCAGAAAGGTTGAGCCCTTGCTCAAGGTCCCACAGCCACTAATAGGAATTGAAACCCAGTTGTGTTCCATCCCCAAAGGTGTACACTGCCAACACACCAGACCCTGTTTCTCCCCACACTGACTGGATAAGCATGTGCTCATTAGGAGCTGAAGCTGCCTGGGGACGGCACAGGTAGCATGGGATACAGAAAGGGAACACACCCTTGGCAGAGATGCTGGCAGTGTGCCAGCGGGAGGCTAGTTAGTACAGGTCGAAGGGCTTTGTTTGGCCTGAGACTTGGGAGCAACCTAAAAGGAAAATAAGGAAATACTGGGAGAGGAACTTGTCAGGGAGCATAGGGCATCAGCCCTGCCTCGTGAATGCTATGTAATTTGATGTCCACATTATCCCGATCTTGGCTGAGATCACAGTGTTCATACCAAGACCCCACTGAAGAAATCAGCTGTGGAAGCAGAGACAACTCCTCTGTGCTCCTGCTGCCCCGCACTTTGATTTTATGGGAGTGGAGGCTGAGAGCCAGAGATGCCCAACCCCTGGCTCAGCTACTTTTTTTATAATATTAATATTACCGTCTCTGAGCTGTGTCCAGGGGGGAAGACTGTCAGCACCTTCCTTCCCTCCCACCTCTCGGGAGCAGCGGCTAATCACTAATGTCCTGCTAATGGCTTTAATGGCCCTTGCAGCAGGCAGTGTGTGAAGTGGGAGCTGCTCCATTGTTTAAGCCTCTGTGACAGAGGCTCTTACTTGCCGCCATTAACCTCTGCCTCCTTCTCCTCTATCTTCTGTCCTGGCCCAGCGTTTTCCTTGGGTCCTGGGGGACCTGTGAAGGAGGGATGGGCCTCCCTTCCCCAGGGCACACAGGTGGGACTTGCAGGGTCTGTGGTCTCCAAATTATTGGCCTTGCTCCTGAAAGCAAGCCAGTACGGGGCAGCACCTGGCCCTGGTCTCAACGTTTAGCTTGTTAAGCCAAGGACCACAGAGTCAGGCTAACAGTACCAGCTCTACCACCACAAGCTGTGTGACTTTGGGCAAGTTGCTTCACCTCTCTGTATCTCTTTTTCCTCAATAGTTACTTGAGAGTAACATTAATACAACTACCTCATAGAGCTTTCCCAAGAACTAGGTGACACTCCGCAAGGTAAGCGCTCAGCACCATGATGATACATTAGGAACACAGAGGAAATCTCGGTGACCACACTGCTGTCGATGGTAATATTCTACATCTGTTTCATAGAACATGGACTGACCAGTATAAGAGACCAGGACCATAAAGATGGGCAAGATGGTGTGGCTGTTCTCAAAGAGTTCTTTCTTCTTAATAGAGGGGACAGGATAGCTATGGAGGTGTCACCCAAGACCGAAAAGAGAAGGGGCTGGAAATCTGCCAGGCAGTTCAGGGGACACTGGCTTATTTTTAAAATGGGATGGGGATAAGCAGAGAGGCCTCAGGTGAGGGAAGCTTAGCAGCCCCTTCCTCCTCCAGAGCCAGGTCAGGATCCTGAGTGGGAACTTTTGCAGGCTTCTGTCTCCCTACGTGGAAGAGAAAACAAGCTCACCTTGAAAAACACTCTGTATTCACTTTTCAAAAAAATCGGGGTCCTTGGTGCATACCCGTAATCCCAGCACTCTGGGAGGCCAAGGCGGCTGGATTGCTTGAGCTCAGGAGTTCAGGACCAGCCTGAGCAAGAGTGAGACCCTGTCTCTACTAAAAATAAAAAACTAGCCACGCGTTATGGTGGGCACCTGTAGTCCCAGCTACTTGGGAGACTGAGGCAGGAGGATCACTTGAGCCCAAGAGTTTGAGGTTGTTGTGAACTATGATAATACCACATCACTCAACCCAGGATGACTGAGTGGGACTCTGTCTCCAAAAGAAAAAAAAAAGATTGTGGTAAATACATGTAACAAAAAATTTGACATTTTAAACACATAATACATTTGACATTTAAAAACACATAATATAGTGGCATTGAGTATGTCACAGTGTTGTACAACCATCACCAGCTATTTCTAAAAATTTTTCATTACCCCAGACAGAAACTCTGTACCCATTAAGCAATAATTCCACATTCCTCCCTTCCCCCAGCCCCTTCTGTTTGTATGAATTTGGCT